TAATGGGTCACACACAAAAGAGAATTGGAAGATTGCAAATTGCCAATTGATTAATTTAACAATCGTTGGATAAATTAATTAATTGGATTTGTTATTTATATTTTCGAATTAATTAATTGGATTAATTAATTCACGGACCGGGTTTAATTAATTGGATTAATTAATTATTGGGCCGGACCGGGCCGAGCCTATTTGGGTTTATATAAATACATAACTAGGGTTTGAGGTCCATTAAGGTTTTCATTATTCTTGCTAGCACAAGAGAAAACCCTAGAGGCTGCAATCATGTTCTCTGTGTGGATCACCGTTGGAGGCTGAACAATTGGACAGCTGTGGTGGCGAATCAAAGTTGTGGAACAAAAGAAAAGCAAAAGGATTGCAGATCTGGAAAAGGTACAATCCTATCACAATTCCTAACCAAACACAATGAGATCTATTGAATGGGAATCGAATATATTTTAAATTCCGCTGTGCATGTATAAGTAGATTCCCAACATCTTGATCCTTCTAGCAATAGAATCCAAGTCGGCCGGGAGGTCTTCAAAAATATTCCTATTCCTCGTAAGCCATATGTAGTAAACGGTGCTAGCAAGAGCAACTCTCTTCGTCTTGGTCCTCCACGAAGTTCCACGATTCTCCTTTTTCATCCACTTAAGCGCAATGGCAAGTGTAGACATAGATCTTGCGATGCCAAGCCATCTCCTAATGCTCCCCCATAATGAGGAAGTGAAGGAGCACTTAAAGAATAGATGGTCACAAGTTTCCTCAAAAAGTCCACAAAAAACACACCTCCGATCAATATCCAAGAAGAGTAGTTTTTCTTTAGTCAGGATAAAGGTCCAAACATGATTATTGATAAATGCAGTGGAAGCCCACAAACACAATGACATCATCGTCCAAGCTTGCAAGATGCTCAGAATCTGAGCGAATAGAGTGCCTTACGGTCGTTTAGAGCGATGACCCCCTTCTCGCCCAAACCTTCGAATCGTCCAGAATCTTAGTAAATATAAAATATTATGGTTGTCTAGAATAACAATTATTAAAGCAGTTATTGAGTAATCTTATTACATTCCACGATTCAAGGAGCCCAGTTGAAGGCGGTTGAACGACAAAGAGTAATGGCAGCAGTTAGAGATGACAGTTCCACGACAAGTTAACCACCATAAAGAAAGTAGGTAGTTATAAAACAATCAAACAGTTTCCAAGCGATTTGTCACGAGGAAGTCATCGAAAGAATATAAAAAGGAAGAGAAAACATAGAATAAAGGCCCCCGAATCAAAAACACTCTCAAACAGAGAATATGTAATTTCGATTTCTTAATTTAAATTTAAACACTTCTTTTATTACTCGTGTTCTTGCGCCCCTTGGAGCCATTTTGTTTATTTCTAATTGTAAATCATCGCCAATAAAACACTCCTTTTTGGGACTTTGTCTCAAGAGGTCTGTTCCTTACACAATCGTCTGATCTTTTTTTAATTGTTAGCGACTAATAGCGCGAAATAATTTAGCACGCCTAGTGGGACATTGGTGTTTGGTGTTGAGGATACAAAAAGTAAAACAATATGCCTCAAAAATCTGATAAGGAAGCAGCAAGTCAGGGAGGAGTCCAGTCTGTGATCGAACGATATGAGGAGCAGCAAAGCTCTCCACGAACAGAGGGACAGAGTCAGAGCAGTCACAGTCGTTACGAACCAATGACAGAGCTGAGTCCTCCTCGAACCATAC